GGGGGGGGGGGGGGGGGTAGTAGGGGTCCGTCCGTGGAGGCTGGGCCGAGTGCCGAGGCCAGGCCCCCTTAGTTCCCTGCTCCACCATGGCTTCCCGAGCTCCCTGTTCCGCCATGGCCTCCTGAACTGTCTGCTCCACCGTGGCCTCCTGGACTCTTTGCTCCACCATGGCCTCCTGAACTACCTGCTTCGCCATGGCTTCCTAGTCTGCCTGCTCCGCCATGGCTCCCTGCTCCGCCATGGCCCCTGTGCTCCCTGTGCTGCCATGGCACCCTGGACTGCCTGATCTGCCCTGGAGGTATTCCCTGTGTCCCAGTCCTGCACCAGCCTCCAGGGCTCTCACCCCCCCCTCCCTGGTGGAAATGTCAGACTCTGTTCCGTGTTTTGTGTGTGTTTTGCTCCCCATGTGTTTCCATGCCCATATTTGGTCCTTCCCGTTCCTGTCCTTATTTGTTCCAGGTGTCCCCTTTTCAGTTCTATTGATCCCAGGTGTGTCTCGTCATCCCATCGTCATGTCATTTGTATATAAAGTGTTCCATGTTATCAGTTCGGGTCCGGTATTGTGAATGTCTGTTTATGTCAACCTCATCAGCTACGTGTGTTTTCCTGGTTCCCTTGTGTTGGATTATATTATTAAAATCTCCTTGTTAATGTTCTCCGCGTCTCCTCGTTCCGCGCTCCAGCACAGTAGCAAACCTGACAAAACTGTGATACATTTTATTTTTCAGGATTCACAGATGAATAGAAAGTTCAAAAGAACAGCATTTATTTGAAATAAATCTTTTGTAATATTATAAATGTCTTTACTCTCAATTTTGATAAATTTAATGCATCCTTGCTGAATAAAAGTATTAATTTACCTTTCACTGTTTGAATGGCAGTGTATATCATTAGTGTAAAATATCATGATATTATGAGTATCTAATTAGATAATGTTGTTATTATTACAGATGCATCAAGTATAAGACTTTATAGAAGATGATAAGCATGTTAAGCTGTGTTCTCTGTCCATCAGATCTCTGTCAGTCTTCAGATGAATTCAGCCCGGCTCCTGGTGAGTCTGTCGATAATGTTATAATTATGACACGACTCTCTGAAAAGAATATTTGAATACTTAATTCACACTTAAAAATGTCATTTATTATAAAGAAAGATACAACAAGGTATGAAATGATAAAACATTAGATGATGTTTGTTTTTCAGGACAATCGCAGCACACACGCCGTCCAAATAACACTGCAAACAGGAGCCCTTATGATGGAATCTTCATATTTATCTTCCTGTCCATCATCATCTTCATTTTTGTCACCTAGTTTTATTGGGTGAGAAGAAAAAATGAAAGTGTTTGATATAGAGTAACAACATTCATTGATGTAAAAGCAGCTCATTTAATTTCTCGCTGCTCGTTTCAGGTCGTTTCTGTGTGTTTCTTGGTGACGACTTTGGATTCTGCGTCGTGGAGATCAAACCCAGAGATCACAACAGACCATAACAGAAATATATCCGTCTGTTTATATAGATACAACTAACAAATCTGTCCCTCATGAATTATAAATCTGATTATAAATCTTCACAATGTTTGATCAGCCTCAGTAACTGATAAACTGTAGCTGTATTCATAGTTAATTTTAGCGAAAATATAAGATTATAAAATGAAAACTATTAAAAACTTTAGTAATATGATCAATATACAATATTATATCATACATGTAGCTTCAATTTTTATGAAGAAATTTGTGTTATTTCTCATTAAAATAAATATATTAAACGCTATATAAAATATATTATATTTAACTAATTATATATAGTTTTTACACTTAAGCTATGTATTATATTATATTATATTATATTATATTATATTATATTATATTATGTTATGTTATGTTATGTTATATCATATTATATATACTGTAAGCAGATTATATTTAATTTTTACATTTGCGAGAAACCCCTTCAACTTCTTGATATTATAAATTGGAAGCCAAATTGAATGTAAAAAAATCAAACATTATGAAATGTAAATCAGGATTTTAATTTGTGAGTGAGTGAGTGAGTGAGTGAGTGTGTGTGTGTGTACCTTTGAGTGTGTTTCCTGCTTTATAAGGCAGATTCCTTATGGCGTTGATCACATCCTCTTTAGTGCTGTGAGTGTTCAGATGCCACTCGACCCATGAATCCTTGCCGCACAGCACCAAACCTGAACACACACACTCTTGCATATGTGGTTTATAGGGACTCTACATAGGTGTAATAGTTTTATTACACACTAAACTACTGCCAATTTCTGAATTTCAAAAAGCACCGTTTAAGTATGTTTTTTTTTAAGCTTTTTGGTTTTTGGGGACACAGGAAGTGTAACTTCATAAACCATGTTTATGTTGAAGTACCCATGTTATTAAACACATTTGTGTCCTCATAAAGCATAAATACCAGAACACACACAAACACAGTGAATCAAATCCAGTACTGAACACTAAATACAGCACAATCACAGTGAAACTGCTGTTTCCTATCAAAAGCTACTCTTGATGCTGCGTTCAAAAATGCTTATGAGAACATTCTTTGTTCGACCGGTTGTGAAGAATGTGTGTCAAACATGCCAAGAATTGGCTTAAATAACCTCGGTAGGTGACGTCATTAATTACACGCACCTGAGAGGTTATAAATAGACGTGAAACGGACACATCCTCAGGTTTCTTTGTCTTCAAGGACCGTATTGTGTGTGTGTGTGTGTGTGTGTGTGTGTTTGTGAGAAGCAAGTGTTTCTCCCTGCTGCACTGCAGTTAAAAAAAAAGAAAAAAAAAAAGAAAGAAAGACATTACTTACCATCATTATGTCGGAGTCTGAGAAGAGATGCGTGCCTCCTTGTCAGAGGCTCATCTCGGAGGATGATCTGCATAATTTTTGCTTCGAGTGTTTGGGGGATGAGCACGCTTCCCCCGGGCTCGAGGGAGAATGTGAGCACTGCGATCTTTTGCCAATCAAAGTGCTTTGCGTGCAGCTTGCTTTCTTTAGAGACGAGCAAGCCGCCGCTCCCTCGTTAAGATCCTGGGGGTTGCGTGTCGATCTGGCTGAGGCGCATGGGACGGCTCCGCCCCTTTCTCTCGCGCTCTCGCCAGATCACGAGGTCCTCGCACCTGCCTCTGAAGCGCGCCTCGGCACTTCTTCAGAACGGGCGGAGGATACTTCATTTCTTGCTTCTGCGGAGATCGAGAGCGCCAACTCAGAGCGCTCCTCTCGCGATGATAAAGGGTATGAGGAGTTACTCAAGGTGGTAACTCGAGCAGTCGAAAGGTTAAAGATAGACTGGCCGCAGGAGCAGGAGGCCCCCAAACGCTCGAAGCTGGATGACAGATTTCTGTCAGGTGGCCGGGGGGAGGGGCCTCAGCGACAGTCTCTCCCCTTCTTTGGTGACCTCCGTGATGAGGTAACTCGTTCATGGAGTAAGCCCTATTCGTCCCGTGTTTTTGTGCCATCGACGTCCATTTATTCGACCATCGTGGATGCAAAGGTACGGGGCGACATGATGATGCCCCAGGTGGAAGAGACGCCTTCGGGCTATCTCTCCCCTGGGAGCTCATTGTCTTCAAAGAAACCGATGCTCCCCACCAAGACTTGTAGACTGACGTCTTCGCTGGTGGGGAAAGCTTTTCAAGCAGCGGGTCAGGCTGGTGCTGCCCTGCACACCATGGTGGTTTTGCAGGCGTACCAGGCAGACCTGCTGAATGACTTGAGCACAGGCGGGACCATCGATGAAGAGGCGTTTTCAGATTTGTCCCTCCGTGCGACTAAGCAGATGGCCCGTACCATCGGGCGATGTATGACTGCTATGGTCTCCACGGAGAGATACCTGTGGCTTAACCTCACGGGCATCAAGGAGAGGGACTGAGGGTTCCTCCTTGATGCCCCCATCTTACCTTCCGGCCTATTTGGCGACTCTGTCAACACAGTCGTCAGTAGGTTCCGGGAGGCGAAGTGCTATGAAGAAGCGTTCGTGAGGTTTCTCCCCTGCCATGCTCAAGCGTCAGGACTGTCGACCACCCAGTCCCGACCAGGTCCAGTTTCTTTGAGACGAGAGGCTCAGAAGGAAAGTGTGGCGATTCATGCGGCCCCTCGAAGAGACTGGGGAGCAGCCCGTCACACTTCTCAGACAGCCTCTAAGAGGCCGGACCTGAGGAGCATCATCTCCTCAAAGAAAAAGTCCTGAGGCTGGTGCACCCAGGACCGTGGGGGTGTGCCCCCCCGGGGAGGGGCGCGTGAAGTTCCAACAGAGACTAGAGGCTCCTTCCTGGCACCCTCAGGGGACCGCTGTAAAATCTCTGCCGCCACTGGTGTTTCGGGGAGTAGCGGCCTCCAGCGAAATGTTACGTGTTCGGTTATCTCCTGCCACATTTCAGGACGCCGGACATCTAACATCCCCCCAACAAAGCGAAGTGTCAAAATCAGTGCCCCTTTCAGAGTAATTGGCAGCGTGGAAGCTACTGCCAAATATCTCTCCATGGGTAGAAAGGACTCAAGCTCTGCTGGACAAAGGGGTCATAGAATGTGTTCCCCTGCCAGACAGAGAGTCAGGCTATTACAGCCGGTATTTTCTGGTTCCCAAGAAAGATGGGGGTTGCGTCCAATTTTAGATCTTCGCAGGTTGAACCGCTACCTCAGAACATACAAGTTCAAAATGTTGACAATCAGGATCTCAAGCATGCGTACTTCCACATAGAGATCTTGCCACAACACAAGAAGTTCCTGAGGTTCGCTTTCAGGGGGCGAAGAATTAGAATCGGGTTCTTCCGTTCGGCCTAGCCTTGTCACCCCGCACATACACAAAATGCATGGATGCAGCTCTGGCTCCTCTACGACTCCAGGGCATCCGCATTTTAAATTACATAGACGACTGGCTGATTTTGACTCAGTCTCGGGAGCTAACACTTCGACATCGGGATGTCGTCCTAGCTCATCTCGAATCTCTGGGGTTGAGACTCAACACCAAGAAAAGTGTTCTCTCTCCTGCTCGGAGGACAATGTATTTGGGGGTTGTATGGAATTCGATTATGATGCGGGCACAGCTGTCTCCTGCACGCGTCGAATCCATTCTAAACACCCTAAAGACCATCAGGCTAGGCCAGAAAGTTAACAGTTCATTACTTTCAAAAGGTTCTAGGTCTCATGGCAGCTGCATCCATGGTGATACCTTTGGGCCTCCTGCATATGAGACCGTTTCAGTTGTGGCTCCCCAGACAGCAGACAGTTTCGGCCCAGATCCGGCCCACATCTGGCCCGCATGGATTTCACATGGGCCAGATGTGGGCCGGATCTGGGCCAACACTATGTTGCTGTCTGGGTCAGAGCCAGGGGATTTCATCCAAGGGCCAATCCCCAGAGGCAAATAAGGGTTACGCGCCAGGGGCTTCATAACCTTTCTATGTGGTTCAGACCCTGGTTTCTGACTTTGGGTCCCACTCTAGGACCGTGTTGTCGTCGCAAGATGCTAACGACAGACGCTTCCCTCTCGGGCTGGGGTGCGGTCTTAGATGGCCATCCAACCCAAGGGATCTGGATTTGTCACCTTCTCGAATGGCACATCAATTGCCTCGAAATGATGGCTGTATTTCGGGCCCTGAAATACTTCCTACAGCAGTTAAGAGGCTACCATGTCCTAGTGCGGGTGGACAACACTGCGGTGGTCTCTTACATAAATCGCCAGGGCGGACTGCGGTCGCGCCGTCTCAACAAACTAGCGCAGCAGGTTCTGCTTTGGGCACATGACAAGTTCCTGTCCCTCAGAGAGATTTACATTCCGGGGCATATGAATGTGGGAGCAGACTTGCTGTCCAGACAAGCTGTGACACACCGGGAATGGAAACTCCATCCCGAAGTAGTCAGTCAAATCTGGGAAAGATTTTACGAAGCAGAGGTGGACCTCTTTGCTTCACAGGAGACAGCACAATGTCCCCTCTACTTCTCTCTGACTCCTCCAGCTCCCCTGGGTCTGGACACGATGGCCCATATGTGGCCCAGACTGCGTCTTTACGCATTTCCTGGCCAAGGTCCGTCAACAAGGGTCTCGCCTCTTTCTGATAGCGCCTCGTTGGCCGACCAGAGTGTGGTTCTCAGATCTAATATCCCTCCTCGACGGCTCGCCGTGGGTGATTCCGGTCAGGAGAGATCTTCTGTCT